CAGCAATTCCTGCGCCTCTTGGCCACCTCAGCAGCCAAGAAGAAGTACCGCCAGGGGAAGCTGACCACAACAACAGCCCGGCTCACAGCACACTACAGGCAGCGGTGGTCAGTCATGCTGCAGCGCTCACAGGCTGCTTCATTCCTAAACAAATCGAACATTGCGGATGAAGCGGCCTTCCCCCAGGCTGCAAGAGACCCCTGGGAGCCTAGCCTAGGAGACCTCTGGCAAGTACTGGAGGATGAGATGGAGGGGGGATGGACCCAGTGAGACGGATGAGCGGTAGGCTAGTCGGTTAGCCAGGGCTCACCTGCGGTAGTCTAGACCTGTTTGTCTTGTTTGTCTTGTTTGTTTGCTTGTCTGTTTGTCTATTTGTCTGTGGCTGCCTAGCTTGCCATGCCCTGCCCTGCATTGGTTTGCCTGCCTTGCCTTGCCTTGCCTTGCCTTGCCCCACCCGGCTGTCCTGTCTTGTCTGTTTGCAGATATCCTACCCGCTACATGTACCTGCCTTGCATGTTTAGCTGCTTCAATGCCTAGGCCTGTCTAGCTACTATCCCTGCCATGCCTGTACCCTTATGAACCTATCAATGAAGGACTGCTTGAGAGAGAGAGAGAGAGAGAGAGAGAGAGAGAGAGAGAGAGAGAGAGAGAGAGAGAGAGAGAGAGAGAGAGAGAGAGAGAGAGAGACAGAATCAATACGCATAACGAGCTTCGGGATGCTTGTGTCAGCATGGCGCAGGATGCGGGCTTCATTGCTCACACAGAGTCCGCGGCCTACTGCCCAGTAGATGAACAGACGGCGGACTTAACAATGATGGACCGGAGCTCCGGGGCTGTCTATATTTGTGATGTAACAGTCACAGATCCGATTAGTACCCGGGATAAGACGGCTGCCAAGGGAAGGGGATGGGCAGCACGGGAGCAGGCGGATAAGAAGATTAAACACTATGAAAGCCGGCCTGACACGGTGATCTTTTTCCCCCTTGCTGTTGAGACCTACGGGTGCCCGTGTGCGGAGGTGCCCGTGTTCCTGAAACTGCTGGCAGACTCTGCTGCTAGGCGTCACTTCAACGCCGAACCTAACTCATTTCATGCAGCCAGATTCCTCCATCTTTTCAGGTAGAGGTGGTCCGTGGCACTGCAGAGGGCCCAGTCAGTGGGGTTCCTCATGAAGACGTGTCAAGCCGCTATGGCAGAGCACCCACCTGTTGGGGGGATGCAGCAGGAGCTCCACCTGGGTGATTGCCTCACCGTGATTGAACCTCTGGTGGAGGTTTAGGGAAAGGTGACACAAGTGTTGGTTAGGATGTGTGGTAGTATGTTTCTTAGTGTGCCCATAGGCTTGTCTAATCTTTGTCATCTTACTTGCATGCTTGTACCTTGCTGCTATATCAATACACGGACCATGAGAGAGAGAGAGAGAGAGAGAGAGAGAGAGAGAGAGAGAGAGAGAGAGAGAGAGAGAGAGAGAGAGAGAGAGGCACTAGGATCTCAGTCCTTAGCCTCTCAAAGCCTCTCCGTAGCCTCTCTTAGCCTGTTAGCCTAGTATATAAGCCCTACGTGAGTCCTTTCCTCATTATTTTCTGGTGAGTTCAATCTACTCTCCAAAAACCGACGGCTCGCGCCGGCCGCCGAAGGCGGCCGACGCTCGACAGCGCGGCCTTCGGCCGCGCACAAGTTTGGCAAGAACATCAAAGGGAAGACAAGTGCAAATGACGGAATACAACATGCAGTGGCAACAGGCCTAACACACCCTACAGGCCAGGTAAGTCCCCAGCAATGGGGAAGAAGAGGCAACACGCTAAGGAAACCGGGGGGGCAGCATCAACTACGGACGAGCAATCAGAAACATGCACCGATCCATCCAACAGAGGGCACCCGCGAGGGCGGGTACTATCTCAAGGGGCGCCTCCTCGGCGGCCATGGCTACCCTGCGGAAAGCAGTCGCTCCAGGTCCTTCGTTCAGCGCCGGGTCTTCAGGCTCAAGGGGCAGGCCGAGCATCGTCGACATCGCCTGAGCAGCGGCCTCCCTCACCACCCCCTGCTCGAACTCGCTCAGCTGCGGGTCCCGCGAAGCCAGATTCCGGCAGCGCATCGCGTGATTCAACTGCTCCAACACCGTCGCCACATGCGACAAACACGCCCCTACACCATGCATCCGCCGCTCCCACAAACAAAGGTCGTGGTAGCTCGGCTCCTCGCCCCACTGTCGTCCCCACACGTCCAGGTCCGGCTTTCATAGTGTTTAATCTTCTTATCCGCCTGCGCCCGTGCTGCCCATCCCCTTCCCTTGGCAGCCGTCTTATCCCGGGTACTAATCGGATCTGTGACTGTTACATCACAAATATAGACAGCCCCGGAGCTCCGGTCCATCATTGTTAAGTCCGCCGTCTGTTCATCTACTGGGCAGTAGGCCGTGGACTCTGTGTGAACAATAAAGCCAGCATCCTGCGCCATGCTGACGCAAGCATCCCGAAGCTCGTTATGCGTATTGATCCTGTGTTTTCCAGTGCCGCAGCGAAACATGTGGTTAGGTAGCTGCGGGTCTGTGATCTCGACGTGTTTTGGGCAGTCACACTTTGCCGGTGTTGCGAAAGGTAGGCCCAACCGAAAGCGGACCGCGTTTGCGAAGTGCTCAGGTCCAATCCGCCGTGTTGACTCGATGGGGATGGCCAGCAGCCAATCCCCAGCTGCATAGCCGGTCAGTGAGATGAGGCGTTGGGTATGTCCACACAAAGGATTCGGTGCCATCCGCCGTGACGCCTGGACCTGCTTCGCGTATCTTCCCCCCTGGACTTGCACTGAGAGGGCATGCTGCAGCCTAATTCCCGCCGGTTCTATCCTCTCCTTCTCTAAGATTTCCCGTGCTTCTTGAGGCAGTGCCGCTTCACACTCCGTTAGCCACGAATGTAGGTCTGTACTTGTATCCCTGGGCAGAAGCATGTGGTCCTTAGCAGCGGTCAAAACGTCCCCTTGATCGAGCGGCAGTGAGCTGAGTAGCAGTGACGCCTGTGTGAAGCTGGAGAGGAAACCCGAAACTCCTTCTACTGTGGGGTCCGTGAGGCCAATCCCGCCGAGTAACGTCGGTAATGAAGCCTGCTCCCAAACACGCGTCTGCTCCGCCACGCTCGTCGGATAGCGTATCCCACATGAAGCCAGGAGCGTGGCGAGCAGATCCCGACCCCATTGGGACCATGTGTCACCAGACAAGAGACTGAGCGGGGTGGTCCTTGTGAGGTAGGCTACTCTGCGGGAAATGCATCGAGTCAGTAGAAGCGAGGCTATCTGTGGGTCCGTGCGTTCTAGTAGCGGTAGCGGCTTTGCCATTGTTTGAAGCTGCTCTGTTAAGAATGTGGCGCCTCCTTCCGTGGTGCCTAAGAAGCTTCCTAGCAGTCGCACGCCATTCTGACTGAAGGGCACCCCGGGCGGCAGCTCCCCCTCGTCCAGCATCTGGGATTTACTCCACGCCGCACACTTAGCCGGGTTATGCTCTAAACCTAAGTTGGCTAGCTGGCTCGTGAAATGAGTGAAAGCTGCTACTGTTTCTGCTCGTTCACCTAGGAAACTGACATCGTCCGCGTATGCGAGACACAAGACGCCAGGGTGTGCTGTTGCTGTTGCTCGTAGCGCTGGGTGGATACCGGCTGCAAAGAGGAGCGGGCCTAAGGGGTCCCCTTGACGTACCCCGCGTGCACTACTTAGTGGGCCGCTTTCAAAACCTGCGTCGAGGTAAAGAAGTGACGGTTGCCCGTAGGTTAGCTTGACTAGTGGGAGCAGTGGCGAGAGGGCTGGGTCCTGAAGGGCGGTTACGATTGCCTGTCGTGAGATACTGTTAAAGGCGTTGGATAGGTCAGTTTGCAGAATCAGGGAATCTGGCCGTGCGTCAGTGAACGCCCGCGCTGTGTGTATGATCGCTTTATGATCGCTTCAGCTCCACCCAGCACGGCCACTCCATACTGCAGCGGCAGGAAGAAACTTCGCGCTGCTTCTCCCATGACCGTCAGAGCAGCCTTTGCTGCTAGTCGAGTGAGGCAGTCGCCGATTGCTATGGGGCGAGCACCGCCTTCTGGCTTGGCAAGTGCTACCAGTCGTGATGACGTGAGTAATTCTGCTACAGGCTGGGGCAATTTTCCCGCCATCAGGGTATTGACCAGGGCGTGCAGATGGGTGCAGACAGATGCATTTGTAACTGCCGCGTCGCGCAGATGCTCGAAAGTGGTGCCAGACGGGCCGGCCCCCACTCCATTCTCGCAGCGACTCAGCAACTTGGCGAAATCCGCGGATGAAATGGTGAGGCTCTGTGGTTGGTCGTTGGATGGCCATGCCAGGGGCTCGCTGCCAGCTGGCGGGTGTTTTCGGCGCAGCTCGGTCAGAATCTGTGGACTGGGCGTGCATACTGGTGTTGACTCAAGTGCCAGTACGGCCCGACGCAAACTTCCGCGCTTTGCCAGACCTTCTGATCTGCTGATGACCCCGGTCTCGTCAGGTTGGTGACGTGGTGGTGGGGGGGTGTTGACAGCTTCCGCGGCGTCAATGTAGAGCTGCTCCCATTCGCCACGTTGGAATGATCTAATCCGGGCCTTAATTTTGGCCCAGTCAGGGCGCTTTGGCGAGGGTTGGCGAAGGATCAGGCGGGGAAGAAACAGCAGCAGGCGCCAGCCTGCGATGGAGTTTGGGTTTCGCGACAGGTGCAGAAGAGGGGTTAGCAGGGCCAGCGAGAACAGCTGGCACAGATTTGGCGGTAGGCGGCGTGACAGCGGGGGTTGACGACTGTCGCAGAGAGGTGTGATATCCCAATTTGCGACTGCTGCGAATCTGTCGAGATGCCTCGCCATTTCGTCTGGTGAGAAATAGCGAGGCTGTTGTGGCGCGTTGGGTTGGCGATGCGCGGCTCGATTTGTCTGGGCGCGGCTCGATGTTGCTTGGGTCGGCAAGGTTGGATTCCCAACCGTACGATCGCCATCGTGCGGTTCACCCTCGTTCCTTTGCCCAGCTACCCCATGACGACTGGGCACTTCGTTCCCTCGTCCGTCTCTCTCCCTCTCCTCTTCTCCTCCTTCGCCATCGCTGCTGTCGTGATGTATCCCCTGCTCTTCCCTATAAGTGGGGTCCGCCCTTTCCTCTTGCTCATTAGTCTCCTCTTGGCCAGTTAAAGCTACTCCCCCAGCTGCTTCCTGCGCGTTCTCCGGCTCCGCGTTTGCAACTAGTAGTGTTAGGGCTATTCGCCCCGCCGCCTGAAACGCGTTTTCGGGTCCTCCTCCTTCGCCGCTTCCTACTCTTCGTCCCGCGCCCCGGCGCCTTCCTCCTCGCGATGGTGATTGCTGGTGGGCCCGCGCTGTCGCCAGAGCACGCTGTCGTTGCGTCAGTGGTGCGCGAGAAGTCACCGCCGGTGACTGCATCGGCAAACGTCGCGGCGAAGCCGCCAAAGCAGCCTGCCCCGAAAACCGTGTCATCGCCAACTGCTGGGCCTGCGGCAGCCCATCCCGATCCTCCGGTTGCAGCGGCGCCTCCGGCTGCCGTGGTCGCTCCTCAAGCTCCCGTTCGCCCGGAGCCTGAGTAAGTGGCACCTGCTGCGGTTGTTGTGTCGCCGGTTGCCCCTGTCTTTGCCGCCCCCGTGATCGCCGCTGCCCCTGCTGCTCTTGGCGGCGACTTGGTGCTAGCGGCGGTGTCCGCCACCACTGGCGGCCCGGCCCCGGCGGTGGTGCCTGCCGAGGCTGTTCAGTCGGCGCCTGCAGCGCCTCCGTTGGTTCCGCCTGGGCAGCCGTGTCGTCCGCAGTCTCCCGATCGCCGCCCATCATGACCCCATTCGCCCTCCCCGCGCGATGAGCGGGAGTCCTCGCGGCGTCGACAGGAGTCTCCTCAGCGCCGCTCATCGGGCGGGAACTGGCATGCGCGACGGGGTGGGCGCGGGGGACGTGGAGGGGAGGTTACGGTCGTGGACGTGGCGGCGCGTTTGATGGGCCGGTGACGATGGCTGACTTGCAGCGGGTTGTAACGGCTGCGATGCGCGAGGAGAGGGCCCTGCAGGCAAACCAGCAGCTCCCTCGTGCAACTGCCGCTCCTCCTCCTGTTGCACCTCCTGTGACTGCACCAGCGGCGGTTGCTCCTCAGCCTCCTGCTCCCCATGCTCCTTATCCGTCCTTCCTGCCCTGTGACTCTGCTTCTCGTGCTGCTGGTGTTGCGCAGCCGTTCGAGACGTTTGTGGGTTCTTCCCGCGCGGCCGAGGTTCCGGAGGCGACCCTTGGGCAGCTGTGGCGCCTCTCTGAGGGTTTGCGGGCTGTTCATCTAATCCAGATGTACGGTCACGCGGGTCTCTCCCTTGGGAACACTCTGGTTGGTGGTTCCCGGGACGAGTGTCTTGACGCCGCGGATCGGCTCGCGGAGCTCCTGGCGCCCGTGTTGGCTGCGCCCGCGAGGGGAGGAGTTGCGGGCGTTGGGAAGCTGGGGACAGCTGTACGGGGCCTGAGGCGCTTTTTGCGCGCTGGGACTGCAGCCGATGTGATCGGCGCAAGCACGGCGGTGGTGCGGGAGCTCCACCGCTCTCTGACTGGGCTCCTTGCTGTTCTTGATGCTGATCAGTTCTAGAGCCCTCCCCCTCCTGCTCCATTGTTGTTTCGTGTGCTTCTTAGGCAGATGAACCCGTCATTACGTGTATGCCCCTGATTATAGCGTTTGTGTGTGTTGACACTTGTCGTCCCAAGCGCGCGGCCGAAGGCCGCGCTGTCGAGCGTCGGCCGCTGAAGGCGGCCGGCGCGAGCCGCTCGGTTAGGAGAGAAACCCAACCAAAAACTGAATAATGAAGAGGCCACAAGGCCTGCTGAGGCCTTTATACTATGACTTGGGAGGCTAGGGAGGCTAGGGGAGGCTTGAGAGGCTAAGTTATTAGGTGCCTCTCTCTCTCTCTCTCTCCTCTCTCTCCCGCTCGGTTAGGAGAGGCTAACCCTCTCTCTCTCTCTCTCTCTCTCTCTCTCTCTCTCTCTCTCTATCTCTCTCTCTCTCTCTCTCTCTCTCTCTCTCTCTCTCATGGTCCGTGTATTGATATAGCCAAAAGGGGTACAGACAAGCAAGCAAGGTATAGAAACTACGATAAAAACCGAGACAACTAAACCAAACAACCAAATAACCAAACAAACAAACAAACAAGCACCCAACTACCTACCCTCCTTTCCCCCCCCCCCCCCCCCCGCCCCGGCACCCACTACTCATTTTCAGCAAAGGGCTCTAGTACAGCAAAGCAGTCCCCCAGGGACAGCTCACTGTTGATTCCCCCAACAGGCGAGTTCTCTGCCGTCGCTGCCAAGCTGGACTTAATGAGGTACCCCACCGACTGGGCCCTCTGGAGGGCGACTGACCACCGTTGCCGAAACTGGTGCAAAAACTTGGCGGCTTGATAGGAGTGAGGGTCGGCGTTGAAGTGTCGCCGTGCCGCAGTGTGTGCCAACAGTTTCAGGAAGGTCGGTACCTCCGCACAGGGGCAGCCGTAGGTCTCTACGGCCAAAGGGAAGAAACCCACCGAGTCCGGCCTGCTCTCATAGTGTTTAATCGTTTTGTCCGCTTGCTCTCTCGCCGCCCACCCTCTGCCTTTCTTTGCCAAAGGGTCCCTCGTGCTGATGGGGTCCGTGATTGTAACGTCACAGATGTAAACTGCCCCACTGCTTTTGTCCCGGATCGTAACATCGGCTGTCTGCTCCTCTATAGGGCAATAGGCTGCTGATTCCCCGTGGACTATGAACCCCGCGTCCTGTGCCATACTGATGCACGCGTCTCTCAGCTCGTTGTGAGTATTGATTCGTGCTTTGCCGGTGCCGCAGCGAAACAGATGGTTAGGCAGCCGCGGGTCTGTAATCTCCACATGCTCCGCACAGTCACAGTTTTTTGGGGTGGAGAAGGGGAGGCCAAGCCTGAACCGCACGGCGTTGGCAAAGTGCTCAGGGCCAAGCCGTCGTGTTTCAGCTATGGGGATGGCCAGTAACCAATCCCCTGTGCCATATCCAGTCATAGAGATCCGCCGCTGCGTGTGACCTGAGAGGGGATTCAGCTTCATCTTCCTTGTCTGCTGCTCCTGCTCCGCGTATCTGCTTCCTTGGACGCTCAGAGCGAGAGCATGCTGCAGCTTGTAGTCAGTCCTGGCCGCCCTCTCCCTCTGTAACAGCTCCCGTGCGTCTGCCGGCAGTGACCCCTCGCATTCTGCTAGCCATGCGTGCAGCTGTGTTCCGCTATCGTGCTGCGGAGCCATCTTGCCTCTGATGATTGCGAGGACGTCATCTGGCGTCAGCGGCATGGTGTTGAGCAGATGCGCTGCTTCCGTGAAATTGGCCAGATACCCATACACGCCTTCAACCGATGGGTCCACAAGGCCTAGTCCACTGAGAGAGGGAGGTAAGGACGCCTGCTCCCAGATCCGCTGGCGCTCGTCCTCACTGGCAGGAAGCCGTGTGCCACATGCCGTGAGCAGAGTTGCGAGGAGTGACATTCCCCATTCTGACCAGGTGGGCATGGGCAGGTGGTGTAGCGGTGTTGTTCGTGACAGATAGGATACCCGTCGTGATATGCAGAGGGTGAGGAGTAGTGAAGCCACCTGTGGGTCCGTCCGCTCTAAAAGGCTAAGCGGCTGGGACAATCTTTGTAGCTGATCCGTCAAGAAGCACGATGCGCCTTCGTCCGTCCCGAGGTAACTTCCTAACATTCGCACCCCCTTGTCGCAAAACGGGATTCCAATCGGTAAACAGTCCAGGGGAACTGCAGAACGACTCCAGGCTGCGCACTTAGACGGATTGTGGTGCAGGCCTAGGCTCTCTAGTCCTTCAGTAAAATGCTTGAATGCCGCGACGGTGGAGTCAGTGTCCCCCAAGAAAGTGACATCGTCCGCATAGGCGAGGCAAAGGACAGTGGGGTAGGCGGCAGCTGTGCTTCGAAGGGTGTCGTGAATGCTGGCTACAAAAAGCAGTGGGCCTAGGGGGTCACCCTGACGCACTCCGCGCTCACTGCTAAGCGGGTCACTGTTGAAGCTAGCGTCAAGATGCAGTTGGGACGGGCTTCCGTATGATAGGCGGACTAGTGGCAGTAGTGGCCTGAGCGCCGGGTCCGCTAGTGCTGTCGCTATAGCCTGGCGTGATACACTGTTGAAAGCATTTGCCAGGTCTATCTGGAGGACGAGACACTCGGGGTTACTGTCAGTGAAGGTCCGGGCCGAGTGGATGATCGCCTCGGCCCCACCTGTCACAGCCACGCCATATTGCAGGGGTAGAAAAAATTCGCGTGCCGCTTTCCCCATTAGCGTCAGAGCGGCCTTTGCAGCGAGCCGCATGATGTTTTCCCCAATTGCTATCGGACGAGCGCCCCCGTCAGGTTTTGCTAATGCGATGAGTCTGGAGGCAGTGAGCAGGTCGGCTACCTGTTGAGGTAGTTTACCCCCCAGTAAAGTGTTCACGAGAGCGTGCAAGTGTGTGGCGACTGCTGCATTCGTCAGTGAAGCGTCGCGAAGGTGTTCGAATGTTGTGCCAGAAGGTCCCGCCCCAACCCCATTCTCGCAGCGGCTCAGAAGTTTGATAAAATCTGGCTTGTTGATGGTCATGGCAGTCGTGGGTGTGTTAGCTGGCCATGTCAGCGATGCGTTGATGGCTGGCGGGTGTTTGTGGCGTAGGTCAGTCAGCGTTTCGGGGGATGGTGTGCAGACCGGGGTTGACTCTAATGCCAGTACGGCTCGACGCAAGCTGCCGCGTTTTGCCAGTCCCTCTGCACGACTGATTTTTCCTTTGTCGTCTGGCTGATGGCGTGGCGGTGGCGGGGTGTCAACTGCTGCGGCTGCCTCGAGATATAATTGTTCCCACTTGCCCTGTTGAAACAACTTCAATCGTTTCTTCATGATCGGCCAATCAGGGCGTCTCCGCGTGGTTTGACGCAGAGTCAAACGCGGGAGAAACAGTAGCAGTCGCCAGGCCCCGATTGACTCCGGCTTCCTTGATAGGTGGAGGAGTGGTGTCAGAAGAACCAGCGAAAAAAGTACGCAGATTTTGGGCGGTAGTCTTCTCGCCAGGGCCGGCTGACGACTGTCGCGTAATGGGGTCAAATCCCAGTCTGCCAATGTGGCGAACAGGTCGTCCCGCCTTGCCAACTCATCCGCCGAAAGATAATTTGGAGTCTGCACCAATGCCACGCGTTCTCCAGAAATGTTGGCGTGGATTGGTCCCTGATCGTGGCTCGGTGGGACATTTGAGGTAAGGGTTGGAATTGGGGCCGTCAGATCGTCTTTTGCTTGCTCCCCACCCTAAGATGTGTTTACCTCTGTGGATCGAGGGTTCCCCCTTGTGGACCCGTCTGCTCCTTCCACTCCTCCAGGGTTGAGCCTTGTATTCCTTGGTGATGCTTCCTCCTCAAAATTATAAATCAGGTCCCGTCGCACGTCCTCATCAGTAGTTCTCTCTTGCGCTATTAAAGCCCTCCTTGCCGCTGCCTGGAACCCGTTCTCAGGACCTCCGCCTAATACGCTCGCTCCACGGCGTCCTCTGCCTCCCCGTCTTCCTCCTCGGTATGGTGATCGCTGGCGCTCCTGAGCTGTCGCCAGTGCCCGCTGTCGCTGCGTCAGTGGCGAACGTGAGGTCACTAGCTGTGCCTGCGATGGTGATAACCGCGCCGAAGCCGCCCCTGGCACCCGTAGTGAAGACTGGCCAGCTAGTTGAGGCCCTCCCTGTGCTCCCGCCGTCTGTGTCACCGGCTGCGTCGGATATGTCGGCTGCCGCGTCTGCTCCGCCCGTTCCTGCTCCGACGGTGCTTGATCCTGCTGGGTCTGTTCCGGTTCAGGAGCCCCCTGTCGCTGTTGTCTCCCCTCCTGCCGCGGCTGGCGCTGCCGTTCCGCCGAGCCTCGCCGCCCCTGTCGTGCTGACCCCTGCTGTTGACGTGGCGCAGCCGGCGGTGTCCGCCACCACTGGCGGCCTGGGCCCTGTGACGGCGATTGGCGAGGCTGTTCGGCCTGCTCCTGTGATACCTCCTGTTGGCCAAGTCGTGCTCCCGATCGCTCCTGCCCCTCCAACTGCGGCCCCCACTGCGGCTCCCCCCGCTCAACGTCAGCCGTCCCCGGGCCGCCGTCAGCATCGGCCTCACTCCCCTGTGCCACGAGACGAGCGGGAGACGTCAAGGCGGCGGCACGATTCTCCTCGGCGCCGAGGTTCCCAGGCGAACTGGGATGCGTCCCGTGGCGGTCGTGGTGGCTGGTGGGGGGGGCGCGGCCGTGGTGGTGGCTAGGCCCATGATCAGCATGTAACGATGGCTGATTTACAGCGTGTTGTGTCTGATGCGATGCGATAGGAGCGAAACGGGCAGGCGAGCCAGAGCAACTTGCCGCCCGTTGCTCCAGTGCATGCGTCCCTTCATCCGGCTGCGCCCTATGCGCCTGCACCTCCTCTTCCCCAGTCAGCCGTTCCTCCTCCTCATGCTCACTCTGCATCTGGTGCTGCTCTTGAAAACCGTATGCGTCTGCCGTGGGTTCCTCCCGTGGCAGGTATGGAGTTCGTGACCGCGGGAGGAGGACCGGTGACGGCGCAGTATCCATCTCTTCTGCCCGTGGCTCCTCCTCCTCCTGCTGCTGCGCTATCTCAGCAGACCCTGGTGGGGCCATCTCCATCAGCCGTGGTGCCGGAAGCGTCTCTGGGGCAGTTGTGGCGCCTCTCTGAGGGCCTGCGGGCTGTTCACCTGATTCAGGTGTATGGTCACGCGGCTCTCTCCCAGGGTGTTCCTCTGGATGGCCCCCCTCGGGACGAGTGCTTGGATGCCGCTGATCGGCTGGGCGAGCTCCTGGCGCCCGTGTTGGCTGCGCCCGCGCGGGGTGGAGTTGCGGGCGTTGGACAGCTTGGGACGGCAGTCCGTGGTCTGCGCCGGTTCTTGCGCGCAGGGACTGCAGTCGACTTGATCGGCGCAACCACTGTGGTGGTGCGCGAGCTTCATCGTTCTCTGACGGGTCTTCTCGCCGTCCTTGACGCGGATCAGATGTAGCGTCCGCACCTTCCCGCTCCATGGTGTTGCCTTGTGTTGTCCTAGACTGATGTAGGTGATGCCATTGCTTGTATGTCCTGGATGATAGTAGTTTGTCTCTTTCTCCCTTGTCGTTCCCTCACGCGCGGCCGAAGGCCGCGCTGTCGAGCGCTGGCCGCCAAACAGAATAATGAAGAGAAGAGGCCCTGAAAGGCCCCTTATATAGCTCAAAGGGGGAGAGGGCAGAGGGCAAAGGGAGAGGGCAGAGGCTAGGATCCTCTCTCTCTCTCTCTCTCGCTCTCTCGAACGAACGAGAAAAAAGTTCTGCCACCAAACAGAATAACGAAGAGAAGAGGCCCTGAAAGGCCCCTTATATAGCTCAAAGGGGGAGAGGGCAGAGGGCAAAGGGAGAGGGCAGAGGCTAGGATCCTCTCTCTCTCTCTCTCTCTCTCTCTCTCTCTCTCTCTCTCTCTCTCTCTCTCTCTCTCTCTCTCTCTCTCTCTCTCTCTCGCTCTCTCGAACGAACGAGGAAAAAATTCTGCCACCAAACAGAATAATGAAGAGAAGAGGCCCTGAAAGGCCCCTTATATAGCTCAAAGGGGGAGAGGGCAGAGGGCAAAGGGAGAGGGCAGAGGCTAGGATCCTCTCTCTCTCTCTCTCTCGCTCTCTCGAACGAACGAGAAAAAAAATCTGCCACCAAACAGAATAATGAAGAGAAGAGGCCCTGAAAGGCCCCTTATATAGCTCAAAGGGGGAGAGGGCAGAGGGCAAAGGGAGAGGGCAGAGGCTAGGATCCTCTCAAGCGGTCATGCATTGATGTTGTTGAGGGGGTACAGGCATGCAGGCATGGTTCTGAATGACCAGCTATCCTAGGCAAGCAAGGACGGGCAGATAAGCAAGCATGCTAACAAAACCAGTAACGAAGCGTTCACAAACCCTCAAGGTGAGCATCGCTAGAGCAGCCTGGTGTTGTGAGTAGGGCCGTCTAGGTCAACCTGGCCTCCTACTCAGCCTAGCCCTGTTCCTACCAGCCGCACCTCCCTCCTCCCTAGCTGAGCCTACACTCCTGCAAGGTCATCATCTAGCACCTGCCAGAGATCCCCTAGGCTCGGCTCCCAGGGGTCCGTGGGTGCTTGGGGGAAGGCCGCTTCGGCTGCCATGTTGCTCTTGTTGAGGAAAGAAACCGCCTGGGAACGCTGCAGCATGACCGACCAGCGTTGGCGGTAGTGTGCATTGAGGCGGGAGGCTGTAGTAGTAAGTGGCCCCTGCCTGAATTTCTTCCTCGCCGCGGCTACAGCCAACAACCTTAGGAACTGCACTGTATCCGCCGCCAGCGCCCCGTAAGTTTCAACTGCAAGACCAAAACACCCTACGTAGTCAGGCCGGCCTTCATACAGGCGGTGTTTCTTCTCCGAAGCTTCCCTGGCAGCCCACCCCGGCGGCTTCCGCACCCTAGGGTCTCGCTTCTGCAGCACCGGGTCTGTCACTGTTACATCCGTGACCCAGGTCTCCGCAGATTCCCTGTCCTGGAACGCCAGGTCCGCCCGCTTGCGGTGGACGGGGGGGGGAAACACCGACGTCTCATGGAAAGTATTGAAGCCTGCTTCTTTTGCCAATCTCAGCGCCGTAAAAACCAAAGCGTTATGCGTCCTCACCACATCCCCCCCCTCCCCACAGCGGAGCAGGTGATTTGCCAGACTGGTATCTGTGATTCCCGAGTTGTTGCGTTTACAGGGGCAGTTGACCGTGACTGGTAGGGCCATCCCGAGGCGGAACCCGAGTGCCAACGAGAACTGACCAGGGGCAAATGTAAGGTCAGATCTCGTTGGCACTGCGTCTAGCCAATCCCCGGCTCCTACTCCCTTCAGGCTGACCAGCCGGACCCCGTGCCCTTGGTCTTCACCCGGTTTGTCAACCAAGGTATCCGCTAGCAGCTCCCTGGCTCGAACCGCATTGATGTGTTTGGACAGGAGCAGCTGCAGGTTACCCTGCCCCTGAGGGCCCTCTCTGTAGGCCTGTAGTGCCATCTGCGCCTCTGCCGGCAGCCTCTCCTCCAGAGTCACCAGCACATTCGATGCTGGGGGCGGAGGAACCCACTCTCTGGACAGCAATGTCACAGCCTGCGCTAACAGCTCTTCCTCCCGCAAGTTCATCTGCTGCAACAGGTGATGCGCTGCCGTCAGGGACGCAATATAAGCCGCTGGGGCCTCAGAGACAGGATCAATGATGCTAAGCCCCCCCAGGCGCACGGGCAGAGTTGCCTGTTGCCACAAAAGGCTCTGTTCCAGTTCGCTGGCCGGGATCCGTAGCTTGGCTGCCGGAAGCGCCGCCCCCAACAGCGACTCGCTCCACGCCCTCCACTCCTCCCGTTCCAGTGTGCTGCTCGGAGTGGTGCGGAGCAGATAGGAGATCCTGCGTGAGATGCTGCGGGTGAGTAGTAGCAGGGCATGTTGGGGGTGCAGCTGTGCGATAAGAGGGACAGGTGCTGATGCCTTGGCGAGCGCTTGCCGGATCTCTGTTGTGCAGTACTCCGGCGTGCCGATGGGACTACCAAGCACCCTGATCCCCTCCGTACTCATCCGCAATCCGTGTGGTGGACCCGCCTGCCCCTCGTCTCTCTCCCGTGGTCCCCATGCCGATGACTTGGCCACATTGCACCGGAGCCCGAGCTTAGCCAGCCCTGTGATGATAGCGTCGAAGGCGTTGAACACATCCACCCGCGGTCCCACTACCGTAATGTCATCAGCGTACGCTATGACAGCCGCCCCTGGGTGCGAAGATGCCGCGCACATCAGGGTCGGCTGGATCTCAGCTGCGAAGAGGAGAGGACCGAGGGGGTCGCCCTGACGCACACCGCGAGAGCTCATGATGTGCTCGACCCCTAGGCCCGGGTCGACTAGGAGACGCGAGGGTGAGTCATATAGCGTTCCGACAAACGGCAGCAGCTGGTGCAGGTCCGAAATCTCCAGCGCCGAGAAAAATGCCTCCCGCTCGACCGAATTAAACGCGTTTTCGACGTCTAGTTGAAGCGCGACGTAGTGATCGTGCTCTCGAAGCAGGGCCCGTACGGTATGAATGACGCACTCAGCTCCGCCAGGCACTGACACGCCGTACTGGACGGGGAGGAAAAATTCGCGAATCATTGGAGCTAACTCGCGTAGTGCCGCTTTCGCCGCCACCCTGAGCAAGGCTTCTCCTATAGCGATGGGTCTTACGCCCCCTCCTGGCTTCTCGAGTGCTATCAGCCGAGACGCGATGGGATCCTCTCTCTCTCTCTCTCGCTCTCTCGAACGAACGAGGAAAGTTTTCTGCCACCAAACAGAATAATGAAGAGAAGAGGCCCTGAAAGGCCCCTTATATAGCTCAAAGGGGGAGAGGGCAGAGGGCAAAGGGAGAGGGCAGAGGCTAGGATCCTCTCTCTCTCTCTCTCGCTCTCTCGAACGAACGAGAAAGAAATTCTGCCACCAAACAGAATAATGAAGAGAAGAGGCCCTGAAAGGCCCCTTATATAGCTCAAAGGGGGAGAGGGCAGAGGGCAAAGGGAGAGGGCAGAGGCTAGGATCCTCTCTCTTTCTCTCTCGCTCTCTCGAACGAACGAGGAAAACATTCTGCCACCAAACAGAATAATGAAGAGAAGAGGCCCTGAAAGGCCCCTTATATAGCTCAAAGGGGGAGAGGGCAGAGGGCAAAGGGAGAGGGCTAGGATCCTCTCTCTCTCTCTCTCTCTCTCTCTCTCTCTCTCTCTCTCTCTCTCTCTCTCTGTCTCTCTCTCTCTCTCTCTCTCTCTCTCTCTCTCTCTCTCTCTCTCTCTCTCTCTCTCTCTCTCTCTCTCTCTCTCTCAAACGGTCCTTTGTATTGATAATAGGGGCTGGTACATGCATGCATATCTAATGGAGTATTCAGCTAGCACAAGGTAGCAAGCAAAACCTAATGAGCACCCAAACAAGCAACCACACACCCCTACCCCCCCCCCCCCCCCCCCCCCCATATCTAAGGTGCCTCTAGTGTTGTGAAGCAGTCACCGGGGTTCAACACCCCCTCTAGTCCCCCCAGTGGGGGGTTCTCTGCTCGTGCTGCCAGGTTCAGCTTTGTGAGGAAGCTCATTGCCTGAGCTCGCTGGAGGGCAATGGACCAGCGCTGGCGCAACTGATGGAGCATCTTCGCGGCCTGATAGGTAGATGGGTCCGCGTTGAAGAGCTTCCGCGCAGCTTTGTCCGCCAGCAGCTTCAGGAAGGTGGGCACCTCGTCACAGGGGCAGCCATAGGTCTCAACTGCCAAGGGGACAAACCCTGCAAACTCCGCTCTGCCGAGGTAGAGGCCAATTTTCTTGTCCGCGGCCTCCCGTGCTGCCCAGCCCCTCCCCTTCCTTGCTGTCTCGTCCCGCTTGCTGATGGGGTCCGTGATTGTGATATCTGCCAGCCATACCGCCCCCGAGCTCCCATCCCTAAAGGCCAGGTCAGCCTTCTTGTTGTCCACCGGACTGAAGGCAGTGCACTCCTTGTGCACAGCAAATCCTGCATCCTGCGCCATACGGATGCACTCATCGCGCAGCTCGTTGTGGGTGTTGGTCCGGCCGTGCCATGTTCCACACCTAAGCAAGTGGTTCGGCAGCCTCTTATCTAGGATGGGGACCTGTTTGGTGCAGTCACAGCAGTCGGGCACAGAGAGAGGCAGGCCGAGCCTAAACTGGAGGGCGAACGTGAAGTGGCAGGGGTATAGGCGTAGGGAAGGCATGTAGGGGATCGCCATGAGCCAGTCCCCCGCCCCATAGCCCGTGAGGGACATGAGGCGCTGGGTGTGGCCTAGCAGGGGGTTCAGCTCCATCTGCCTAGATGCGGTAATCTGGGCTGCACTCCGGCCCCCTTGGACTAGGAGAGCGAGGCGGTGCTACAGCTGGCACTTGGGTTTTGCCTGCTCCGCCGAGATGAGGTCCCTCGCCTCCTGCGTGAGGCTGTCCCTGCAGTCCCCGATCCACCTCTGCAGCTCGTTGGGGCTGTGGTCGGCTGCTGCGGGGGTGTCTAATGCCGTTGTCAAAGTGGCCCCTGCCTGCCCCTCTAGCTGACCGAGGAGTGTGTGTGCCTGCACAAAGCTTGCCAGAAAACTGTACCGGCCCTCTACCGCTGGGTCGGCGAGGCCCAGGCCGCCTAGGCTTGGTGGGAGTGAGGCTTGGTCCCAGATACGTGTGTCCTCTGTCTCTCCCCTTGGGTGGCGCACCCCGCAAGCATCTAGAAGCGTGTACAGCAGCGCCCGGCCCCACCCTGACCACTCTGCTTCGGGTAACAGGTATAGGGGTGTGGTGCGGGCTAGGTAAGAAATGCGCCTGGAGATACACCGTGTTAGGAGTAATGCCGCTACTTGGGGGTCCATTTTTGCTAAGTGGGGCAGCGGGGACGACGGTGTCTCGAGCTGTGATCGTAGAAAGGCTGCTGGTCCGTCGGTCGTGCCAATGAAGCTTCCCAGCACTCTCAGCCCCTCCGTGCGTAGCGGGACGCCCTCCGGCAGCTGCTGGGGGTCTGTTGCTGCTGCGCTCCACGCGGCGCACTTCCCTGGGTTGTGGGTCAGTCCTATGTCGCGTAGGCCAGCCGTGAAGTGGCGGAAAGCGTCGGAACAGTCAGCAGCAGGGCCCAGGAAGGTGATGTCGTCAGCGAATGCTAGGCATAGAACCGTAGGGAAGGCTGCTGCTGTCGTGGTGAGAATAGGGTGGATCCCTGCGGCGAACAGCAGCGGGCCGAGCGGATCCCCCTGTCGCACGCCTGTCTCGCTAATTAGTGCCTCGCAACCGAACCCTGCGTCAAGGAACAACTGGGCCGGCCTGCTATAGGATGCTTTGACGAGGGGAATAAGGCCTTGGAGGTCGGTGTCGCGAAGTGCACTGACTACTGCTGCGCGGCTAATCGAGTTAAAGGCGTTCGCTAGGTCGGCTTGCAGTATAAGCGTTCCTGGGTTTGCATAAGTGAAGGCCCTCGCGGCATGGATAATCGCTTCGCTACCGCCCTGGACGAACACGCAGTATTGTAACGGGAGGAAATGTGCACGGCAGTCTTGGGAGAGGGCTGAGAGGGCGGACTTGGCGGCTAATCGTAATATACACTCGCCTACCGCTATCGGTCTAGTTCCTCCGTCAGGCTTGGCTAGAGCTATGAGACGGCTGGCTGTTAGTAGCGAGCAGACCTCGTCAGGCAGTTTGCCTCCCAAAATAGTGTTGACGAGGGCGTGGAGGTGTGTGGTAACCCCCGCGTTGGCGAGTGATGCATCGCGCAGGTGTTCAAATGTCATACCCGGCGGTCCTCCTCCCACCCCGTTCTCACAACGGCACAGCAGTTTAACGAAGTCCCCTTTTTCGATCGACGCCGCTTGAACAGTATCGGGGGTGTTCCAATCGATGATACCAGGTGGCGCGGGGGGGTGTTTTGCTTTGAGAGCGGCGAGGATGGGTGCAGATGGGTCGGCGACCGGCGTTGACTCAAGGGCGAGGATCGCCCTGCGAAAGGCTTCCTTTTCGTGCGAGGCCTTCTGCCCTGGCACGTTTGCCAAGGGCATCTGGCGTATGGCGAGGCGGGTTTTGTCCAGTGATTGCGGTAACCGCCGAATCGTAAAGCTGCTGCCATTCGCCTTTGTTAAACTGGCGAAGTCGGTGCTTGACCGCCGGCCAATCGGGCTTCTCCGTTGACGGGAGGCGAAGGGTGAGGCGCGGGAGAAAGAGTAACAGGCGCCAGCCTGCGACTGACGCAGGGTTACGCGCGAGGTGAAGGAGTGGTGTCAGGAGGGCTGTGGCGAAAAGTGGGCGAATGTCAGCAGGGAGTTTACGCGAAAGTGGGGGCTGACGACTGTCGCGTAGAGGGGTCAGGTCCCATAATTCCACTTCGCTGAACCGCACCAAGTCCTCGGCCAATTGTTCAGGCGAGAATTGGCGGGTCTCTAATGCGGTGGTGTCCGGTACCGGCCGGTTTAATTCGCCACGTGTTGCTGCTGGAATTGGAGCGGCTCGGCGTGGTGTTGGGTTTGCCCGACGTCTACCTTCCCGTTCCTCCTCCTCTAACTCCCCCGATTCTTCTGTGGTGGACTCTTCCACCACCTCAGCTATAAACGTAGGGTCTCCTGCCTCCTCCTCAGCTTCAGTGTTCTCCACTCTTCGAGTTAAGGCGCGGCGTGCTTCCCTCTGGAAGCCATTTTCTGGTCCGCCTCCCCTCCCAGTCGTACCTCCTCGTCTGCCGCCTCGTCCGCCCCGCGATGCCGGGTCGATAGGCGACGACTATACGTATTCGCCACGGCCCTTTGTCGTGGCGTCTGCTGCAGCTGCCCTTCCGACCTTGTCGGCCCCTGCACCGGCGGCTGAGGGGATGGTGCCTCCTCCCGCAACACGGTCTGCGCCGTCGTCCGTGACTCAGGCTGGCCCGGTCCCTGCGCCTGCTGTGGCGCCCGCTCCTGTCGTGGCGTCGTTATCTGCGCCTGCTGTGGCGCCCGCTCCTCTCTCTCTCTCTCTCTCTCTCTCTCTCTCTCTCTCTCTCTCTCTCTCTCTCTCTCTCTCTCTCTCTCTCTCTCTCTCTCTCTCTCTCACGGTCCATTGTATTGATATAGGAATGAGAAAAACAGCAAAGGTAAGCAAGCAAGCATCAAACAGATATGTCAACTAATCTCCTTCCTACCCCCTCCCCCCCCTCCCCCCCCCCCCCCCCCCCAGGTCTTCTACTCACTACCATTGCCCGGCTCTAGGGTAGCAAAGCATTCCCCCGGGTCTAGGACTCCCTCCGGCCCTCCTATGGCCGGGTTTTCAATCTGGGCTGCTAGGTTGAGCTTGATTAGGAAGCTCATGGCCTGGGCTCTTTGCAATGCAACGGCCCAACGCTGGCGGAATTGATGCAGCAGCTTCGCGGCTTGGTAGGTGGAGGGGTCCGCGTTGAAGTACTTACGTGCTGCTGCATCTGCCAGGTGCTTCAAGAAGGCCGGTACCTCATCGCATGGGCACCCATACGTCTCAACTGCTAGTGGGTAGAAGCCTGCGAATTCTGCCCTGCCGTGGTACAGTCCAATCCCCGTCTCTTGCTGCCCATCCCCGTCCCTTCCTGGCTAGCGCATCCCTCTTACTGGTCGGGTCCGTGATCGTGATATCCCCCAGCCACACCGCCCCACTGCTACGGTCTCGCATGGCCAGGTCCGCCTTCTTGTTGTCGACCGGGCTGAAGGCTGTGCTCTCTTTGTGCACTATGAACCCTGCATCCTGCGCCATCCGTATGCATTCGTCCTGCAGCTCGTTATGCGTGTTGGTCCGCCCATGCCCTGTGCCGCAGCGGAGGAGGTGATTGGGGAGGCGCTTGTCTGTTATGGCTATCTTATCCGTGTACTCACAGCAGCTAGGGACAGGGAGTGGCAGACCTAGGCGGAACTGCAGGGCGAACGAGAAGTGTTCGGGGTTGAGGCGGAGGGACGCCATGTAAGGGATGGCAATCAACCAGTCGCCGGCGCCGTAGCCAGTAAGGGAAAGGAGCCGTTGCGTGTGGCCGCATAGGGGGTTCAGGTCCATGTGCCGTGATGCCGCTACCTGTGCGGCGCTGCGTCCCCCCTGGACCAGTAGGGCGAGGCGGTGCTGCAGCTGACCCTTTGGAGCGGCTATCTCTGCTGCCAACAGGTCCCGCCCCTCCTGGGTGAGGCTCGACTTGCATTCCCCCAGCCATGCTTGCAGTTTGTTCGGGTCCGGGTCTACTTCCTCGGACCAGTTCAGTGCATTGGAGAGGAGTTCGGCTGCTGGGCCTGGTTGAGACGTGAGGAGCCCGTGTGCTTGTGCGAAGCTCGCCAGGTAGCTGTAGCGCCCTTCCACGGCTGGGTCCGCTATCCCAAGGCCCCCCAGGCTTGGAGGCAGTGAGGCCTGGTCCCATACTCGGCTACCCTCGGCCTCGCCCCTTGGGTGTCGCACACCGCATGCGTCGAGCCACGTGTGAAGGAGCGCTCGGCCCCACTGTGACCACTCGCCCTCAGGAAGTAAACTGAGTGGTGTGGTGCGTGCGAGGTAGGACATCCGCCTCGAGATGCACCTGGTCAGCAGCAGCGACGCCGTTTGCGGGTCTAGTTCAGCGATCTGCGGTAGCGGAGTCGTCATGCTCTGGAGCTGTGACCGTATGAAGGCGGCTGCTCCAAGAGGTGTGCCTATGAAGCTGCCGAGCACGCGCAGGCCGTCGGGGCAGAAGGGGACTCCTGCCGGCAAGGATCCTTCCGGCGGCCGAACGGCGCTCCATGCAGCGCATTTCCCCGCGTTGTGCCGCAGTCCCACGCTGAGCAGGCTGGTCGTGAAGAAGTTAAACGCCGCCGTACACTCGGTTGGTTTCCCTAGGAACGTGACGTCGTCAGCAAAGGCGAGGCAGAGCACTGACGGGAAGGCCGTTGCCGTCACGGAAAGGGAGGGGTGGATTCCCGCCGCGAAAAGCAACGGGCCCAGAGGGTCGCCTTGACGCACCCCTGTGACGCTTGCGAGCGGTGGACTTTGAAATCCCGCGTCCAAGAAGAGTTATGACGGCCCACCGTACGACGTTCGGACTAGGGGTAGGATTCCGTGTAGCGACGTTCCGCGGAGGCCTGCGACTATGGCCTCCCGGCTAATGCTGTTGAAGGTATTGGCGAGGTTTGTTTGCAGGATCACCGCGTCGTCGTGCGTGCTCATGTAAGATCTAGCGGCGTGAATGATCGCCTCACTTCCTCATTGAACGGCGACGCAGTACTGAAGTGGGACGAAGTGGCCCCGAGCTTCATCGGCGAGAGAGGAGAGGGCCGATTTCGCCGCTAAGCGTAGGACACATTCTCCTACTGTTATGGGGCGAGTGCCACCTTCGGGCTTGGCGAGGGCGATGAGGCGAGAGGCTGTGAGTAGCGAGCAGATTTCCTCTGGGAGTGGCCCTTGGAGGATGGTGCTAACGAGGGCATGGAGATGGGTGGTAACGGCTGCGTTTGCGATAGCTGCGTCCCTGAGGTGTTCGAACGTCATCCCCGACGGCCCTCCCCCTACTCCGTTTTCGCAGCGGCATAGGATTTTCGCAAATGCAGCTGGGGTGATGGTTGCCACGTGGGCCATCTCAGGTGGGGTCCAGTCGATGTGGCCATGTGATGCGGGTGGGTGCTTTGCTTTGAGTGAATCCAGGGTATCGGGTGTTGGGTCTGCCACGGGTGTAGATTCGAGGGCTAGGATTGCCCGACGAAGACTGCCCTTTCGGACGAGTCCCTCCGCCCTGGCACGTTTTCCCAACTCGTCCGGCTGGTGACGTGGCGCTGGCGGGGTGTTGATTGCTGCTACAGCTGCCTCGTACAGCTGTCCCCATTCGCCTTTGGAAAACTGACGAAGTCGCAACTTCACCGCGGGCCAATCCGGCTTCTCTGGTTTCGCCTGGCGAAGGATTAGGCGGGGTATAAAGAGTAACAGGCGCCAACCTGGAACCGAGTCAGGGTGGCGTGCGAGGTGCAGGAGTGGTGTCAGCAGCGCGTTTGCGAAGCTGGTGCGGATTTCGTGCGGAATTTTGCGAGAGAGGGGGGGCTGACGACTGTCGCGTAGTGGTGTCAGGTCCCAGGTGCGAATTTCGTTGAAGCGGATCATGTCCTTCGCCAGCTGTTCTGGCGAGAATTGCCGTGTTGGTGGTGTGGTGGTGTGAGGTGCATCGGGGTTTGATTCCCCCCCAATTCCAATTTGTGCAGATGCGGCTCGGGGGGGTGTTGCAACATTCACTCAACTCTCAACTCCTGGAGCAGCTTCATCTTCGTCCCCGCCATTTCCTTCCGTGGTTGATTCAGCGGCTGGCTGGACCCCCAACTGGCGTGGGGTCTTGTGCCTCATCTGCTTCATCCTCCGCCGCGTTGTTGACATCCGCATCTGTTAAAGCTAGCCTCGCCGCCCGTTGAAATCCGTTCTCCCGTCCTCGGCCAGGCCCCGCAGCTCGCTGCCGCCCGCCTCTGCATCCTCCTAATGCCTGTGGCGGTTGGTGGCGGTTCCCCGGTGCCGTATTCGCCGCGGCCGTTTGGCGTGGCGTCAGCTGCGCTTGCCTCGCCGGTACAGTCGGCGCCGGTTGCCCCTGTTGCGGCAATGTCTGTCGCGGGTTCTCCTGCTCACGCGTGCTCCACGGTAGTCGACTCTGGACGAGAGTCGGCGGGTGTGGCCGTCCAACCGCGCGTGGTGGCGCCGGCGCCTGTACCTGCCTTCGTTCTGGTGCCTGCGGCTGACGTGGCGCCTCTTCCTGCTCCTGGCGCGGCGCCCTCTCCCGCGCCTCACGTTCCGGTGTTGCCGTCGCCTGCTGAGACGGCGGCTGTTGCTGGGGTGGCACCTGCGTCTGGCGAGGCGCCTCCTCCTGCGCCTGTGGCGCTGCCCGTGGCGTCTCCTGCTGCGTCCCTTGATGCGCCGGGCGGGAAGTCCGCCCCTCCGCTCCCCGCGGCTTCCTCGTCTGCCCATGCCCTTCCTCCGGCAGTGCAGCAGCGTAACTCCTGTCCTCATTCGCCCTCCCCCCGAGATGAGCGAGATGTGTCTCGTCGACGGCGTGATTCCCCTCGCCGGCGGCAGCCGCAGGCGAACTGGCATGCGCACCAGGGTGGTTGGAGGGGAGGTCGCGGTCGCGGGCGTGGCGGGTGGCTGGACGCGCCAGCAACAATCGCGGACGTGCGGCAGATTGTGACTGAGGCGTTTCGCGACGGTCAGGCCGGCCCGGCGAGTCAGAACAGCTCGCGACGTGCGGCTCCAACGCCGTCTGCTCCCCTTCCGGTCGCTCGCCCCGTGGTTGCTCCGACGCCTGCGGTGTCACTGCCGACTCCCTCGGCCCTTGCTCGTAGTGGTGGGGCTGGACTTCCTCGACTACAGCTCCCTTCTCTGGCGAAGGAGCTCCTTCCCCCGCGCGCCGAGGTTCCGGAGGCGACACTCGGACAGTTGTGGAGGCTCTCCGAGAGCCTTCGTGCGATCCTGCTTGTGTAGTCCCTGGCGCACGGGTCTCTTCCGCCTGTCCCGGCGGAGTCCCTGCTTGACGGCCCGCGGGACGACTGTCTTGACGCGGCCGACCAGATTGCCCTCCTCCTGGCGCCTGTGTTGGCCGCGCCCGTGCGGGGAGGCGTTGGGGCTGTGGGGCAACTGGACGCGGCTGTGCGGGATCTGCGGAGGTACCTGCGGGCAGGTTCCGGAGCCGACGCGATTGGCGCCGCCATTCTGGTGGTCCGCTCGGTGTGGCAGACGATGACGGGCATTCTGCATGCCCTGCAGGCGGATCGGATGTAGCATCCGCCCCGGCTTGATCCATTGTTGTCTTAGGAAGAAGTAGTTGTTGTCATCCGATGTATGTCTTGCCGATAGTCACTTGTTTGCTTCTCCCTTGCCGTCCCTAGCGCGCGGCCGAAGGCCGCGCTGTCGAGCGTTGGCCGCTGAAGGCGGCCGGCGCGAGCGAAAAAATCAGCACCAAAACTGAATAATGAGGAGAAGAGGCCCAGGAGGCCCCTTATATAGCTAGGATAGGAGAGGGCAGAGGGCTGAGGGCAGAGGGCAGAGGCTAGTACCCCCCTCTCTCTCTCTCTCTCTCTCTCTCTCTCTCTCTCTCTCTCTCTCTCTCTCTCTCTCTCTCTCTCTCTCTCTCAAGCAGTCCTTCATTGATGTGTGTATAAGGTACAGGCAAGGCAACAGCAATCCTAGCAAGCAAGTTGGCCTAGGCATGCAAGTTTTATAATGAACATAGTCTCATACATGGCCTGTGTTGGGCCGGCGTGCCCTACTTGGCTGCATAGTCACCACACCTCTCCTTACAGCTACATCACTGCTGGCTTGCTCAACCTCCTGCAGGGCGCCTCAATTCCAGTCCTGCCCAGCCGAGGAGAGCCTCCTGCGGTTGGGCGGGCCACTATGGGTTGACCCGGCCCTCTACTCCCCCAAGTCGAGTAGCTGGGCCAGGTCATCCTCGAGGACCTGCCACAGGTCCCCAAGGCTTGGTTCCCACGGGTCAGCCGCTGCCTATGGGTGCGCTGCCTCAAGTGCCCTGTTGGACTTGGCCATCAGGGCATTTGCCTAGCAGCGCTGGAGCATTACTGACCACCGCTGTCGGTAGTGCGCCGTGGTTTTAGCGCCCACCGTCGTCAGCCGCCCCTGCCTATGCTTTGTCTTTGTCGCCTGGGTGCCTAGCAGGCGGAGGAACCGTTGGGTGTCCTTAGCCAAGGCCCCATATGTTTCCACCGCCAGCCCGAACACCCCCACAAAGCCAGGTCGCCCCTCATACAGTCCCCGCTTCACCCTTGCCGCATCCTCCGCTGCCCACCCTGGTAGCTTCACCGCTCGTTTGTCTCGCCGCTGCAGGACAGGGTCCATCACTGTCACATCGGTGATGTAGGTCTCATTGGACTCCTTGTCACGGATGACTAGGTCCGCTCGCTTTTGGTTGGTTATAGGCGAGAAGACCGCTGTCTCGTGCAAGGTGGTGTACCCCGCTTCCCTGGCCATTTGCAGCGCCGCATACACCAGTGAGTTGTGGGTGTTCGTGCGGTCCCCCCCATCGGCACAACGAAGCTCCTGTCCCGTATGTCTGATCGCTTCCCTTTGCAGGGGCACTTCTCCGTGACCGCCATGGGCAGCCCAAGGCGGAAACCGAGCGCCACTGCAAACTGTCCAGGTGAGAAGGTAAGGTCGCCTCTCGTGGGGATTGTGTGAAGCCAATCTCCGGCCCCCACCCCTTGCAGCGCTATGAGCCGGATCAGATGTCCGTTGTCCACCCCCGGCTTATCTTCCCTCGTGTCGCCTATCAGCTCCGCAGCCCTGTCCTGGTTGATGTGCCTTGATAGGATTAGCTGCAGATGCCCTTTCCCGTCCCCCTTCAGGTGGTGCGTCTTCAGGACCTCTCGGGCCTGCTCTGGTAGCCGGTTCCTGAGGTCCTGGAGTGTCACCACTCCTCCTGCCGCCTCTCCTTCTTCCCTCATAGGAGAGAGTAGGCCTGCCGCGTGCTGCAGAGGGTTGTCGGGCTCCATCACCGTTTGTCGGAGCAGTGTGTTTGCCGCGTCTAGTGAGGCTAGGTATGCCGCCGGTGCCTCCGAGAGTGGGTCTATCAATCCCAGCCCCCCTAGGCAGACCGGTAGCGTCGCCTGGCGCCACACGAGGCTCTGCTCCATTTCACTAGCCGGTGCGTACATCTGAGCTGCCTTCAGCACCGTCCACAGCAGGTCCTCACTCCAGTCCCTCCATTCCACTAGTGGTAATGTGTCAGCCGGGGTCGTTCGGAGCATGTACGAGATGCGCCGTGACACGCATCTTGAGAGCAGTAGTAGTGCATGTTGTGGGTGCAGTTTGCTAATGAGGGAGAGCGGCGCCGCCACCGTGCTAAGAGCTGTTCGTATGAACCTCCGCCCGTACTCCCTTGTCCCCACCAGGCTCCCAAGCACACGAATGCCGTCGATCGCCGCCACCAATCCTTCTGGGAGCTCGTTTGAGCAACCCGCCGGGCACCACGCAGAGGATTTCTCTAGGTTGCACCTCAGGCTACACTTCCGTAGCTCCTCCGCGATGATGTTCACCCCCTTAATCGCTTGTGCCGGAGCGCCGATGATCGTGATATCATCAGCGTATGCCATCACCACCATCGTGGGGCACATAGTTGCTGCCTTCAGTAGGGTTGGCTGGATGGCCGCCGCAAAGAGTATAGGCCCTAGTGGGTCTCCCTGCCGGACCCCTCGAGCGCTCTCGATGTATCGTTCGTCGAAGCCCGGATCCAAGAGGAGGCGTGCTGGCGCGCCGTACAGGGTGCGGACCAACGGAAGGAGCTGCTCGAGCGCCGTCCATTTGAGTGACGTGAAGAAACTCTCCCGTTCTACCGAGTTGAATGCATTCTCGACGTCCAGCTGAATTGCGATCCGCGTTGGGTCATCTGCTAGCAAGGCTCAGGTAGTGTGTATTATTGTCTCTGCTCCTCCGGGCACCGCCATGCCAAACTGGACTGGGAGGAAGAACCGGCGGATATCGGGCGAGAGTTTTCGCAGCGCCGCTTTCGCCGCTATCCTAATTATCGCCTCGCCTATTGCTATCGGTCTGACCCCCCCTCCTGGCTTCTCCAGAGCTATCAGCCTCGATGGTAACAGTAGATCTCTCAGGGGCTCGCTAAGGTAAGTGCTCATCAGCGAGTTGATGACTTGGTGCAGGAGTGTGAAGACTTCCCCGTTCACCAGCGCGGGGTCACGTAGGTGTTCAAAACAGGTTCCACTTAGCTAAAACTTCGCGAAATTCGTCGGCAGCAATTGCCAGGGACGACAATTCATATCCGGTAACCCATCCTGGTGTTGCCTCCCCTGCCATCGGATGTTTAGCGCGAAGTGTCGCGAGTGTCGCTGGTGATTGCTCGGCGAGCGGGGTTGACTATAACGCAGCTAAGGCCTTCGCCAAATTCGCCTTCCGTACCAGGCCCTCCGCTCTAGCACACATGCCCTCAGGGTCTGGTTGGTGTCTGCTTGGTTGGGGATTCGGGGGGATGGTGCAGGCTTCCGAGAACAGCACCTCCCATTCTTCTTCTTGAAATTGCTGAAGTCGCTTCTCAACCACGGCCCAGTGATTTCTAGGAACCTTCTCAGTTTCGGCTCGGAGGGTTAGCCTAGGTAGGAACTGCAGGATTCGCCACGCCCCTGTGCACCCTGGAACCTTCGCGAGTCGTTGCAGGGGGATCGTCATGCAATAGGCGTAGACTCCCAGGATCTTGGGAGGAAGCTTCCGGAATAGGAAGGGCTGGGCGCTACAGCACAGTGGCCCTAGTTCCCACCCTTCCACCTGGCGCCAGGCATCCGAGTCAGCGGCGATGTCTGCTGGCGATCTTGCTTTGCTGGCCACCTCATTGGGTTGGACGCCACGTGACTCACCCTCGTTGGCGTCAGCATCGTTTCCCCCCCTCCTTGCCCCTCGATCTGCCGCATTATCTGGGATACCCTGCTCATCCTCCAGTGATACATCCTCCGAATCCCCCTGTTCCTCCTCCATATATTCCTCGTCCCCACCATCCTCGCTATTTTCCATTGGCTCACCTCCCTGCTGTCTCTCCGGCATCCCGTGCCTTTCCTGCCAAGGCCCAGATCTAGCTTTTTCTCTAGCTACGGCTGCCACTAGGCCTCCTCGCCCTGCCCTTCCGCGCGCGCCTCGTCCGCCACGTCCCCTCGGCGCCACCGCCGCTCGTCCCCTTGGTCGTGCTGGCGGGTTTCCCGCCGCTGCCTCAGCCGCGCGTTCGCGCAGCAGCCTCTGCCGCGGTGTTCCCCCTCGACGCCGATCGATCACGGTTACTTGCTCCTCCTCCTCCGCTGCCGCCGCGTCTTCCGCCTCAACTTCTACCTGATCGGCTGTTTTGTGGGGCCATCCCGCCTCGTCCCTCGCTCTAGATGACGGGCCGGCGCCGGCCGCCGCGGCGTGAAGTGATTGTAGCGGCAGGATCTCCTGCTGTGCCCACCCTACCAGGGGCCCCAGGCGGGCAGGTGCCAGCCCTGCTCCGAGCCGCCGCGGATTGTCTAGCAGCGGGGGTTGGCGCCGCCCCTTCTGCGTCGCCGAGTATGCAGGCGAGGCCGAGGGAGCCGTTGTATCGCTCACCACGCGGGCGGACCCATCCGCATCTATGTGCACGGGGTCAGTCCTTCCGCCGCCGCCGTCCGCCACGTCCGCCGTACTCTGGCCAGGTTCGTCATCGACCGCAGCTTCGAACTCCTGCCGCACAGTCCCAGCCGTTGCAGCTTCCTCCGCCCTAGTCCGAGCGGGAGAGAGAGGAGAGAGAGAGACCTTAGCCCAAGGAGTAAACTAGCACGAAGACAAGCAAGCAAAAATCTAATCACAATGGAGCACCTAGTCAAGCAAACACACACCCCTACCCTCCCTCCCCCCCCCCTAAGGTGCTTCTAGTGTTGTGAAGCAGTCACCGGGGTTCAGCACCCCCTATGGTACCCCCAGTGGGGGATTCTCTGCTTGTGCAGCCAAGTTCAGCTTAGTAAAAAAGCTCACTGGCTGAGCTCTCTGAAGGGCAATAGACCATCGCTGGCGAAACTGGTGGAGCATCTTCGCGGCCTGATAGGTAGATGGGTCCGCGTTGAAGATTTTCCGTGCAGCTTTATCTGCCAGCAGCTTCAGGAAGGTGGGCACTTCCTCACAGGGGCAGCCGTAGGTTTCTACTGCCAAGGGGACGAACCCAGCAAACTCTGCCCTGCCTTGATAGAGGCCTATCTTCCTATCTGCTGCCTCCCGTGCTGCCAAGCCCCTCCCCTTCCCTGCTCTTTCATCCCGTTTGCTGATAGGAACCGTGATTGTGATATCTGCCAGCCACACCGCCCCCGAGCTCCCATCCCTAAAGGCCAAGTCGGCCTTCTTGTTGTCCACCGGGCTGAAGGCAGTGCACTCCTTGTGCACAGCAAATCCTGCATCCTGCACCATTCTAATGCACTCGTCGCGTAGCTCGTTGTGAGTGTTGGTCCGGCCGTGCCCTGTACCGCACGGGAGCAAGTGATTCGGCAGTCTTTTGTCAAGAATGGCGTCTCTGTCGCTGCAGTCACAGCAGTCGGGCACAGAGAGTGGCATGCCGAGTCGGAACTGGAGGGCGAACGTGAAGTGGCAGGGGTATAACCGCAGGGCTGGCATGTAGGGAATTGCCATGAGCCAATCTCCCGCCCCATATCCCGTGAGGGACATGAGGCGCTGGGTGTGGCCTGATAGGGGATTCAGCTCCATCTGCCTACATGCTGTAATCTGGGCGGCACTCTGGCCCCCTTGAACTAGGAGAGCGAGTCGGTGTTGTAGCTGGCCCTTGGGTTTAATCTGCTATGCTGAGATAAGTTCCCTCGCCTCCTGCGTGAGGCTATCCCTGCAGTCCTGGATCCACCTCTGTAGTTCGTTGGGGCCGTGGTCAGCTGCTTCGGGACTGTCCAGTGCTGATGTCAGGTTGGCCCCTGCTTGGCCCCCCAACGGGCCGAGGAGTGTGTGGGCCTGCACGAAACTCGCCAGGAAACTGTATCGGCCCTCCACTGCAGGGTCGGCGAGGCCTAGGCCACCTAGGCTCGGTGGGAGTGAGGCTTGGTCCCAAATCCGCCTGTCCTCTGTCTCGCCCCTCGAGTGACGCACCCCGCAAGCATCTAGTAGTGTGTACAGCAGAGCCCGGCCCCACCTTGACCACTCTGCTTCAGGTAACAGGTATAGAGGTGTGGTACGTGCTAGGTAAGATATGCGCCTGGAGGTGCACCGTGTTAGTAGCAGCGACGCTACTTGGGGGTCCATGTTTGCGAGGTGAGGCAGCGGAGATAACATTGCTTCGAGCTGTGAGCGTAGGAAGGCCGCTGCACCTTCTGTCGAGCCGATGAAGCTTCCTAGCACTCTCAGCCCCTCCGTGCATAGCGGGACACCCTCGGGAAGCAGCTCGGGATCAGTGGCTGCTGCGCTCCATGCGGCGCACTTCCCTGGGTTGTGAGTCAGCCCCACGTCACGTAGTCCTGCTGTGAAGTGGCGGAAAGCTTCTGCACACTCGGAAGCAGGGCCTAGGAATGTGATGTCGTCAGCAAATGCTAGGCAGAGAACAGATGGGTAGGTCGCTGCCGTCTTGGTGAGGGTGGGGTGGATCCCTGCGGTGAAGAGCAGCGGGCCGAGCGGGTCTCCTTGTCGCACGCCTGTCTCGCTGGTCAGTGCCTCGCATCCAAACCCCGCGTCTAGGAACAGCTGGGCTGGCCTGCCGTACGATGTTTTGACGAGGGGAATTATACTCTGGAGTTCGGTGTCGCGAAGTGCACTGACTACTGATGCGCGGCTAATGGAGTTAAAGGCGTTTGCTAGGTCTGCCTGCAATATTAGCGCGTCTGGATTTGCGTATGTGAAGGCCCTTGCGGCGTGGATAATCGCCTCGTTGCCGCCTTGGACGGACACGCAGTACTGTAACGGGAGGAAATGCGCCCGGCATTCTTGGGAGAGGGATGAGAGGACAGACTTGGCGGCGAGTCGTAGGATGCATTCTCCTACGGCTATCGGTCGAGTACCTCCGTCAGGTTTAGCTAGGGCTATGAGGCGGCTAGCGGTCTATAGCGAGCAGATCTCGTCTGGCAGGTTGCCTCGCAAGATGGTGTTCACGAGGGCATGTAGGTGTGTGGTAACCCCCGCGTTGGGGATGTCGCCGCTTCCTGCTCCTGGATCTGTGCCGTCGTCTGTGACTCTTGCTGGCCCGGCCCGTGCGCCTGTTGTGGCGCCAGCTCCTGTTGTGGCGTCGTCGTACGCGCCTGCCGTGGCGCCTGATCCAGCGCCCGCCTCGGCGCATGCTCTCGCGCCCGCCCTGGCGTCTGCTCCAGCGCCTGCCCCTGCGCCTGCTGCGGCGTTTGTTCCTGCGCTTCCTCCTGCGCCTGCTCCGGCGATTCCCCTTGCCCCTGAGAAGGCGTTTGTGCCCGTGCCTGTTGTCGCAGCTTCGTCGGCGTCTGTTGGGGCAGCCTTCGTGCCGCCAGAGGCTGCGCCCGCCGGTGCGCCTTCTGCTGCTGATGCGGACCCGTCTTACCCGCCACCTCTAGCCACCAGCGCCGGCGTGAGCCAGGCGGGGGTTCAGTCGACGCCCGTGGCGCCTCCGCTTGCTCCGTCTGGGCAGCCTCGTCGCCCCCAGTCACCTGCCCGCCGCCCGTCTCGTCCTCATTCGCCCCTCCCGCACGATGAGCGGAAATCGTCGCGGCGCCGACAAGAATCTCCTCGGGGCCGCCGCTCTCATGGGAACTGGAGTGCGCGCCGTGGCGGTCAGGGTGGCTGGTGGGGAGGTCGCGGCTATGGACGTGGCGTTGCCCCTGAGGAGCCACAGATGACTCCCGCGGAAATCCGTCAACTTGTGACGGCGGCGGTGCGTGATGCTCAGGCTGACACGACGGGCACGAGCTACTCGCAGCAAGCGGCGCCGCGTTCTGGCGTTCCCCCTCCTGCTGCCCGCCCCGTTGGTGTTCCCCAGCCGATGCGATCGGCGCAAGCTCCTTGGTGGTACGGGAGCTGTGGCGGACACAGACAGGGATTCTTGCCGCTCTGGAGGTGGATCGCATGTAATCGCCGCCTCCGGCTGCTCCGTTGTGCTCTCCTGCATGTTGTCTTAGGCAGTCGTAGGTGTTGCCATTGCTTGTAACTGATGCCTCTCATAGTCCATTGTGTGTCTGCTCCCCTTGTCGTCCCCTCACGCGCGGCCGAAGGCCGCGCTGTCGAGCGTCGGCCGCCGAAGGCAGAGGGCAGAGGGCCAGAGGCAGAGGGCAGATGCTAAGGACCCTCTCTCTCTCTCTCTCTAACGGTCCTTGTATTAATATAGGCTTATAAGGGACAGCAAAAGGCAAAATCAATAGCAAAAGCAAAATCACAAGCAAAAGCACAAGCAAAACAGGCACAACCTGGTGCTACAATACTACCCCACCCACCCTACCCCCCCCCCCCCCTTACCCCCCCCTACTCACTCCCCGGCTCTAGTGTTGCAAAGCAGTCCCCCGGGTACAACTCCCCCTCCTGCCCGCTCACAGGGGGGTTCTCTATCTGTGCCGCCTGGTTCAGTTTGACAAGGTAGCTCACGGCCTGGGCCTTCTGTAGAGACACCGCCCAGCGCTGGCGGTACTGGTGCAGCAACTTCGCCGCCTGGTAGGATTTGGGGGGAGCGTTGAAGTGTCTGCGTGCCGCTGATTCTGATAGCTGCTTGAGGAAGGCCGGAACCTCGTCACACGGGCAGCCATATGTCTCAACTGCCAGGGGAAAGAAGCCAGCATAGGACGACCGGTTTTGGTAGAGGTCTATTTTCTTGTCCGCCGCTTCCCTGGCCGCCCAACCCCTTCCCTTCATGGCCTGCTCATCCCTCTTGCTGATTGGGTCAGTGATTGTTATGTCCCCCAGCCACACAGAGCCTGTGGTACGGTCCCGGATGGCGATGTCCGCTCGCTTGTTGTCGACCGGGCTGAACGCCGTTGTCTCCTTGTGAGTCATGTACCCCACATCCTATGCCATACGGGCGCACTCATCACGTAGTTCGTTATGGGTGTTTGTGCGCCCACGTCCAAAACCGCAGCGGAGGAGGTGGTTAGGGAGTCTTTTATCCGGGATTTCAGTCCTATTGTTGCAGTCACAGTGGCCTGGTACGGGTAGGGGCATTCCTAGCCGGAACTGTAGGGCGAAGGCAAAGTGCTCGGGGTTGAGGCGGAGGCCGGGCATGTATGGGATGGCAAAGAGAGATTAGCCGCTGCGTGTGGCCCATCAAAGGGTTCAGCTCCATCCTTCTAGAAGTTGCAACCTGTTCTGCGTAGCGGCTTGCTTGGGTGAGGCGGGCTAGGCGATGTTGCAGCCGACCTGTGGGGTTCACCAGTTCCGCATCCAGCAGGTTCCTTGCCTCCTGGCACAGTGCGCCTTTGCACCCATGCAGCCAAGCCTGAAGCGGGTCTGGGTCGGGGTCAATCTCTGCTGACCACGAGAAGGCGGCTGCTAAGGAGGATCCTGCCGCCCCCTGCTCCTCTCTTAGCAGCGTCATGGCTTGGACGAAGCTTGCTAGATAGCTGTATCGTCCTTCCACCACTGGATCTGAGAGGCCAACACCTCCCAGGGACGGCGGGAGAGACGCCTGTCCCCATACCCTGGTTTCCTCCGCTTCACCCCTCGGTGGGCGGACCCTGCAAGCCTGCAGGAGGGTGAGTAGTAGCGCATGTCCCCACTGGGACCATTCAGCCTCTGGGAGCATGCACAAGGGTGTAGTGCGCGCCAAGTAGGAGATGCGTCGGGAGATGCACTTTGTCAGCAAGAGCGACGCCAGCTGAGGGTCCATCTCGGCAATGAGGGGGAGGGGCGAGGACAGTGCTTCGAGCTGGCTTCGCAGGAATGCCGCTGCTCCCGCTGTTGGGCCTATGTAGCTCCCCAGCACCCGAAGACCCTCTGGGCAGAACGGTACGCCCTCCGGGATTACGCAAGCTTCAGCTCCCAAAGCGCTCCATGCAGCGCATTTCGCCGGGTTGTGTGTCAGCCCGGCCTGTAGCAAAGCGGTGGTGAAGTGGTTGAATGCCGCCGTGCAGTCCTCTGCCTTCCCTAGGAAGGTGACGTCGTCGGCATAGGCGAGGCATAGGACTGATGGGAAGGCGGCGGCCGTGTTCGTCAGGGCTGGGTGGATGCCCGCCGCGAAGGGTAGTGGCCCCAGGGGGTCCCCTTGACGTACACCAGTTTCGCTCGTGAGTGGTGGGCTGTTGAAGTCGGCATCAAGGTAAAGCATGGATGGTGCGCCGTATGAAACCCTCGCCAGTGGTAAGACGTTTTCTAGGGTTGATCCTCTGAGAGCCTCAACTATCGCACTCCTGCTGATGCTATTACAAGCGTTTGCCAGGTCTGCCTGGAGAATCAGAGCGTCTGTGTGTGCGCTCATAAACGCCCGCGCCGTATGGATTATGGCCTCGCTACCTCCCTGGACCGCGACACAGAACTGGAGAGGGAGGAAGAAGGTGCGCGCTGCTTCTGTTAAGGTTGCTAAGGCGGATTTGGCGGCGAGGCGCAGGAGGCATTCTCCGATTGCAATGGGCCTTGTTCCGCCTTCTGGCTTGGTGAGGGCGATCAGTCGCGAAGACGTGAGGAGCGAGCACACCTCGGGGGGGAGGGATCCCCCCAGGATGGTGTTGACTAATGCGTTCGATGAGGCGTTGATGAGTGCAGCATCGCGGAGGTGTTCGAACGTCATCCCTGATGGCCCGCTTCCTACTCCGTTTTCACATCGGTTGAGGAGCTTGGTAAAGTCAGGCCTGGTGATTGCGAGGGCGGGGGTGGTGAGCGTGATGTTCCAGTCGGTTGGAGTCGGTGGTGCAGGGGGGTGTTTTGACTTGAGTGCTTCGAGCACTTCAGGTGTTGGGGTGGCGACTGGGGTTGACTCGAGGGCTAGCACTGCACGTCGCAGGCTGCCTTTGCGCGCCAAGCCCTCTGCTCTGGCTCGCGTGCCTGTGCCGTCTTGAATGTGGCGTGGCGGTGCTGGGTTGGATAATTCGCACCCCCTTGTCGCAAAACGGGATTCCAATCGGTAAACAGTCCGGGGGAACTGCAGAACGACTCCAGGCTGCGCACTTAGACGGATTGTGGTGCAGGCCTAGGCTCTCTAGTCCTTCACTGAAATGCTTGAATGCCGCGACGGTGGAGTCAGTGTCCCCCAAGAAAGTGACATCGTCCGCATAGGCGAGGCAAAGGACAGTGGGGTAGGCGGCAGCTGTGCTTCGAAGGGTGTCGTGAATGCTGGCTGCAAAAAGCAGTGGGCCTAGGGGGTCACCCTGACGCACTCCGCGCTCACTGCTAAGCGGGTCACTGTTGAAGCTAGCGTCAAGATGCAGTTGGGACGGGCTTCCGTATGATAGGCGGACTAGTGGCAGTAGTGGCCTGAGCGCCGGGTCCGCTAGTGCTGTCGCTATAGCCTGGCGTGATACACTGTTGAAAGCATTTGCCAGGTCTGTCTGGAGGACGAGACACTCGGGGTTACTGTCAGTGAAGGTCCGGGCCGTGTGGATGATCGCCTCGGCCCCACCTGTCACTGCCACGCCATATTGCAGGGGTAGAAAAAATTCGCGTGCCGCTTTTCCCATTAGCGTCAGAGCGGCCTTTGCAGCGAGCCGCATGATGCTTTCCCCAATTGCTATCGGACGAGCGCCCCCGTCAGGTTTTGCTAATGCGATGAGTCTGGAGGCAGTGAGCATGTCGGCTACCTGTTGAGGTAGTTTACCCCCCAGTAAAGTGTTCACGAGAGCGTGCAAGTGTGTGGCGACTGCTGCATTCGTCAGTGAAGCGTCGCGAAGGTGTTTGAATGTTGTGCCAGAAGGTCCCGCCCCAACCCCATTCTCGCAGCGGCTCAGAAGTTTGATAAAATCTGGCTTGTTGATGGTCATGGCAGTCGTGGGTGTGTCAGCTGGCCATGTCAGCGATGCGTTGATGGCTGGCGGGTGTTTGTGGCGTAGGTCAGTCAGCGTTTCGGGGGATGGTGTGCAGACCGGGGTTGACTCTAGTGCCAGTACGGCTCGACGCAAGCTGCCGCGTTTTGCCAGTCCCTCTGCACGACTGGTTTTTCCTTTGTCGTCTGGCTGATGGCGTGGCGGTGGCGGGGTGTCAACTGCTGCGGCTGCCTCGAGATATAATTGTTCCCACTTGCCCTGTTGAAACAACTTCAATCGTTTCTTCATGGTCGGCCAATCAGGGCATCTCCGCGTGGTTTGACGCAGAGTCAAACGCGGGAGAAACAGTAGCAGTCGCCAGGCCCCGATTGACTCCGGCTTCCTTGATAGGTGGAGGAGTGGTGTCAGAAGAACCAGCGAAAAAAGTACGCAGATTTTGGGCGGTAGTCTTCTCGCCAGGGCCGGCTGACGACTGTCGCGTAATGGGGTCAAATCCCAGTCTGCCAATGTGGCGAACAGGTCGTCCCGCCTTGCCAACTCATCCGCCGAAAAATAATTTGGAGTCTGCACCAATGCCACGCGTTCTCCAGAAATGTTGGCGTGGATTGGTCCCTGATCGTGGCTCGGTGGGACATTTGAGGTAAGGGTTGGAATTGGGGCCGTCGGATCGTCTTCTGCTTGCTCCCCACCCTGAGATGTGTTTACCTCTGTGGATCGAGGGCTCCCCCTTGTGGACCCGTCTGCTCCTTCCACTCCTCCAGGGTTGAGCCTTGTATTCCTTGGTGATGCTTCCTCCTCAAAATTATAAATCAGGTCCCGTCGCACGTCCTCATCAGTAGTTCTCTCTCGCGCTATTAAAGCCCTCCTTGCCGCTGCCTGGAACCCGTTCTCAGGACCTCCGCCTAATACGCTCGCTCCACGGCGTCCTCTGCCTCCCCGTCTTCCTCCTCGGTATGGTGATCGCTGGCGCTCCTGAGCTGTCGCCAGTGCCCGCTGTCGCTGCGTCAGTGGCGAACGTGAGGTCACTAGCTGTGCCTGCGATGGTGATAACCGCGCCGAAGCCGCCCCTGGTCTCTCTCTCTCTCTCTCTCTCTCTCTCTCTCTCTCTCTCTCTCTCTCTCTCTCTCTCTCTCTCTCTCTCTCGCCCCTGGTCTCTCTCTCTCTCTCTCTCTC